TGCCCTCGTGTATTTATTTTTTCAGTTGGTTTTTCAGTTTCCCCAAAGTAACAGGCAGACGAGGTCATATTGTCACGTGAAAGGGCAGTGTGTGTCCCGTGAGATGGTCCGTTGACTTTGGGGCTGGTGCGTCCCTGGCCAGGGCTCGGCCCCCACATGTGCTCTGACCCCCACAGATCCCGGAGCTGAAGCGGGACATCAGTATCCCCGACTACTGCTGCCTGGGCGACGGGGAGGAGGACGAGATCACCATTAATGCCTGGTTTGGTCCCCGGGGAACAGTGTCCCCCCTTCATCAGGACCCTCAGCAGAACTTCCTGGTCCAGGTGGGAGTCGCTCCAGAGTGTCGGCCTCCCCCCGCCCAGCACTGCGTGGCCTGGCCCTGTTATCCATGTTTAAACTCCAGAGACAGGAGCAGACAAAAGTGAAAACAGAGAGATGGTACCAGGCTCCCTGTGGGGCCCTCCTTCTGGCGGGGGCTGCTTCCAGGTGTGGTTCTGGGACCAACAGCCCCTGGGATCGGGCAGAGCAGGGCCGGGGAGCTGTATCGGGACAGAGCAAGTGCCCTCATGGTGCCTGTCCTCTGCCCTCCCCACCCACCACCCCCGCCCCGCCCGCCATCCATCAGAACCAGGCTGGTTTCTCCTGCCAGCACCTCTCCTCAGATAAGCCGCTGGATGGTGTCCTGAGACCCAGGCGGAGTGGGTGTGTTTACTGCAAGGGAAGGGGCACCTGTTGTAAAACCTCCTTTTTTTGTAGGTGGAGAGGTTTAACAGATGAGAACATTTTTCTAGCCCAGAGGCACTAGAATGGCTGAGAGCCGGGGCCCCAGATCCACTGCTTGGCGTGAACGCCAGCCCTGTCACCTATCCGCTTGGTGACCTTGGGCTGCTCAGCTAGCCTCCCTGGTTATTGATCCATAATATATTTGGAGGCTAAACCTATGCTTGGCCTGGAACGGGGGCAGGGATGGGGCAGTCTGGGTGCAGGGAACAGCACATCGAAAGGCACAGAGAGGTATAGGAGGCTGGTGTGTTCAGGGACCTGCGGTCAGTGGGTGGGGGGCAGCCGTGACACTCGGGGCAGCAGCAGAGTGACCAGTGACTGTCTCCCCAGGTGATCGGCAGGAAGTACATCCGGCTGTATTCCCCACAGGAGTCAGAGGCTTTATACCCGCACGAGACGCACCTTCTTCATAACACGAGCCAGGTGGGTGCTTGGAGGCCCCGAGTGTCGCTGCAGGTCCTCCCCGCCCCCCACCTACCCCCTCCTCGGAGACCAGGCAGGTGACAAGTCGGGTTTTCTTCAGGTTGACGTGGAGAATCCCGACCTGGAAAGGTTTCCCAGGTTTGCCGAGGCCCCGTTCCTGTCCTGCGTCCTGTCTCCCGGAGAGGTCCTGTTTATCCCGGTTCAGTACTGGCATTACGTGCGGGCTCTGGACTTGAGCTTCTCGGTCAGCTTCTGGTGGTCGTAGCCAGAGTCCGAGGATCTGAGACACATTCCCTGCTCTACCCCTGGTCCGGCACTGGCTCCCGGCATCTAGAGACAAGCCAGACTCGGCCTGTGCCGGAGCCTTCACTGGAGACCCCTCTGGTCACTGGACAGACACAGGGTGAGGGCGTGGCAAGGCGCAGGCTCCAGGCCAGCGTGCAGCAGAGGCCGGTGGGTGAGATCCCAGAAGGACGTTCCAGGCCAGCACTCCACCCGGAGACCCTGGGCATCATGCGGCCTGAGGTGCTGGGGCCACGGGCCGGCTGTGCGCAAAGCTGTAGAGGGTGGGCTCTGAGGTCAGCTGCCTGGACTGAGACCCCGCCCCAGCTTCCCTGCTGTGGAAGAGTTGGGATACTTCACTGTGTGTGCGTCTCCGTGTGGAAAACGGCAGCTCAAGCACCTGCCACGGAAAGTTCGAGAGACGGTGCACAGAGCCCGGGCGGGTCTGTGAGCATTAGCTGCTGTCTGAGCTTAATAATTACTGTGATTGCCACCGACTTGTTTGTCCTGTTTGGCCTGACAGGACAGCCCCAGCCCACAGACTCTGGAGGGGGCGCCGGGCACAGCCCAGGCTCAGCCCAGCCCTGCTGGCTGTGGCGGGGTGGTGGGGGGGGGTCTGGGGAGGTTTCTGTTGTCCCTGTGTGCGCTTGGCCTGACCCACGGTGGTGGCCGTCTCCTAGCCTGCGTTTTCAACTGCGCCCCCTCCTGGCAGCCAGTCCCCACGTCATGAAACCACCGTCCGTGGCCCCCAGGACCCCCCTCCTGCCCATCAGTCTCATTCATTACCCCCTCGCAGACAAAGCCTTCGCCCAGGGGAGCGGGTGCCCCTGCAGGGGCAGGTCAGCTCCACGTCCCCGCAGCGCCAGTGCCCAGAGTCTCCGAGGTCCCAGGGAAGATTCTGGCAGGCTGGGAACCGGTGAGGTGCGATCGGGGCCTGGCTGGCATGTGCCTCCCTGGGTAACCAAGAGCTAGGCAGGGAGGCATCAGCGGTCGGCTGGAAGTCTAGCCGCCCGCATCCTCCGCAGGCAGCCGGGGCCTCTGAACTTCATCACATGGGGCTGGGGGCTCCACGGTTTGGAGCAGGGGGACCGTCCATGCATGCAGTTGGCAGGCTGTTGGCAGACGAGAGGGAGTCCGACACCTGCGGGGAGACCGTGGCGCGGATGGGGAGTGAGGTCAGGGCGCGGCAGGGGCACTGGGGACAGTGGCAAAGGCCAGCTCTTTGGGAAGCGAAACGGCGGGCTCTTTGCAGAGACTGCTTGTTCCCTTCTCAGGTGTTATTAATAGTTCTTTGCCTAATTTTTCAGATGAAGAATTTATACCACATATTAACACCCCTAAAGGTAGCAGGGCATAAGATAGGAGCCACTGCGTCTGGCACGCTGGCTGTCTAAGGGGAATGGGCCATAACTCAGGGGGTCTGCCTGCATCACTCACAGCACCCCCCACCCCAACCTAAGGGTGGCTGTGTGGCTCCAGCCTCCACAATCCATCTCTCCCGCCTGGTGGCCCCACTCATGCTCTACGCCGCCATTCTCATCCACTGGGGGGACAGGAGGACATGGTCATTAACACATGACATGGAGGCCTGGCTGCCTCTAGCAAATGTCCCTTGTCAGGTGAGAAGATGGCAACAGCCGAGATCTTCATGTGCCCTCTGTGCCGAGCTGCAGGGCCACAGCAACCACGGCGAGCCGGAGGGCTGGCTTCAGCTCAGAGGAGTGTGGACTTGAGTCCGCTTGGAAAACGAGTTATCTCTGGCCATTCGCCGAGCCAAGGTGGGGCGAGCACGGGGCCACCGTCCCCCACCCACCCCAGCTGCAGAGGCCTGCCTGGGGCCCAGTCTGATGCAGGCACGCGTGGCCTCGAGCCGGACGCGGCCCTGCCCTGGCATCCGGAGAGGAGGGACATTGCAGTAAGGTACAGATCATGGCGAGGGCTGTGAAGGGACCAGAATTGGGGGGACCGGGGACAGGACTTAGCACAGACAACATCTGCCGGAGTAACCAGGAGGCCAGAACCAGCCACGAGGGTTGAGGTGGAGCAGCAGGTGCAGCAGTCCTGGGGCAGGAAGGCTCTGGCGCTGGGGGAGCACAGGGAGCCCGCGACTGCACTAGCAAGGGGAGGGACGAGGGTGTGGAGCCAGGGAGATGGGTCTGCGAGCTGCTGTGAGGAGGGACAGAAGGATGAGCTAGAAAGTGGAACAGCCGTGAGTGTCACTTGTCCCATCAGTTCCCAGAAGGACCAAGTCAGGAGTGTCAGCAGGGAGCAGAGCGGGGATGACAGCTGGGCAGGGAGGCAGGCAGTGCCCGATCCCAAAAGCCTCGAGCACCAGACACAGTCTTCAGAATTGCGTTCTGAACTGAGGTTCTGTCAGGTGCTGTCAAGGAGTCCTCGGGAAGTTCACGTTGCGATCAACACGGGGAGACTGAGACGCTGGCGGGCCCATGTCCCCAGGGGCCGGGTGCTAGGAGCTTCTGGAGTCACAGCTAAGGACTCCCTTGGACCTGCATGGTATGACTGTGCCCCTACGGCAGAGGCAGCGGTGTGGAGGCCTGGTGACCTCACCCGGACCCGCCGGCTCAAGCCTCTCCCGCAGGACCCCTTGTTTTAGCCAGACTGGGTTGGGCTGACTGATCCGGGTGGAAGAGACAGGGAGACGGGAGTCAGGAGTGTGGCAGGTGCACTGAGCAGAGACGTGTGGGGAAACGGGGACCGAGGTCAGGAAGCTGTGACAAGATCCAGAGAGCGGCCGGGGAGCAGGCCAATGGCGGGAAACCAGGGAAAGTGTTTGGGCTGAGGGCACAACATGTGCATCAGCGGCATCAGCGGCCAGGAACAGAGGGCACTTTCGGAACGGCAGGAAACACCATGAGGGGAGAAACAGGCTGGAGGGTCCGTGAGATGGGCCTCAGCACTGGCCCCGGAGTCCTTGGTCTCAGGCAGGCGCACCACGCTGACGGAGTTGGGGGGCAGATCGCCGTGGTGGAAAAGCCCGGATCCGGCAGGCCGGCTGCAGCCAGGAGCAGAGCTGGCGGAGGAGGCAGGGCGCTTGGACAGGGTTTGGTGGCGGCTCGACGCAGGGGAGCCGGGGTGGAGGCATCTAGGCTGACGGTGGGGCCGCCCGTCGCCAGGCAGGGTGGAGGAACCCAGTAAGGAGAGCAGCCCCCAGCCATCAGGCAAGCTGCATCTTGGGCCAGAGGGTCTGGACTGTGGGAGGCTGGGGAGGGCCGGTGTTGCTGGGACGGGTGACCCAAGCCGGGGGCTGAGGCAGAGCCGCCGGGCCGGGGTCGTGCGGGAGGAGCTCTGCCAGCTTGCCCGGCTGGGACCCAAGCCAACGGGCTCTCTGTTACCTGGAAGCCCAGGAGAGGACCAGCCACCACAGGGAGCCTCCTGGGGCCGCACGACCACAGACCGAGGCTGCAGCGAGGACTCTTCAGTGACTTTTATTCCAAACCTGCTTACACGTGAACGTAAAGCAGGGGGGCTCGACACTGCCGCTCCTCTCCCAAACCAGGCTCACCCGCGGTCCCCCAGCGCGCCAGCTAGTGCTGCCGGGACCGCAAGGACCTCTTGGTGGCCCTGGACGTCCCAGCCTCCCGCTCCTTCTCGGGGTCGAAGACTTCTGGGCACAGAAAAGACCAGAAGGTACTGTGAGGAGCAGCTCATGGCCGCAGCTACGTGCCGCCCGCCGAGGGCTCTGCCCTCGCCCCTCCCTGCAGATCCCCACCCCCCACCACGCTGCCGCCGGGAAGGCGGGGGTCACCTCCCGTCCAGGGATGGCTGCCAGGGTGGGGGGCCTTGTTTAGACCAGACGCTCCTGTCCCTGGGAGCTCGCCTGGGTTCTGAGAGCCCTGAGAAGTGTGCGAGCGGGAAGGCCTCCGCACACTGCACGAGACCCTTCAGCTTGGGGTGTCGGGTCCGGCTCACACAGACCTGCACGTGCGGAGCCCTTGCCTGAGCGCTCCCCATTCATTCCAGGTGTCCCCTCGGTCCTGCCACCAGCCCCTCCCGAAGATCAGGGTGCAGCCCCCCCACCCCCGCACCACAGGGACACGAACCTGGTATCTCGTGGGGCCAGTAGTCATTACAGTGGGGGCAGCGCGGCTCGGAATTGGACTGGAAATACTTCGCCACGCAAGGTAAGTGCATTCTGATCCCACACGTCTCGCAGCTTTGACCCTGAAACCAGCAAGGGGATGGCCATGGAGCCTCGTGCACCCCTCCGAGCTCACAGCCCTTCCACAGGGGCGAGGAGAAGGTCCAGAAGGCTCCAGGGTTTTGTCCTCCAGGCCTGAGATGGACAAGGAGAACCCCATAGCCCTCAGCACAGGGGCTTGTGCCCGTGCTTGTGTGTACATTTGTTCTGAGAAACGAATGTAGATGGAGAACACTCCAGACTCTAACAGCGGGGCGCCCGGGTGGCTTGGTGGGTTAAGCGGCTGCCTGTGGCTCAGGTCCTGAGGCATCCTGGGATCGAGGCCTGCATCAGGCTCTCTGCTCAGTGGGAAGCCTGGTTCTCCCTCTCCCTCTGCCCCTACCCGCTCCCCGCCACCGTGCTCTTTCTCTCGCAAATAAAAATCTTAAACAAAACTCTAACGGGCAGAACTTGGTGAACGGCGGGCCAGGCCACCCCAGGAACTCGGGCTCCCAGTGCACATGGGCCCTCAGAGCGTGCAGAGCCGAGCACATGGCTTCAGCCTTCCAGAAGGCCACTTGGAAATGTGGAGCAAAGGCTTTAAGAAAACGTGTCCGCCGTGCCGGAAACCGCACGTCCGGGAAGCCAGCCCAAGGCATCAATTCCAGGACAGCTGTGCGGAGAGGCTCGTCGGCGCACGGCTGACGGCGCAGCAGCGGTAGGAGTCGGGGAAGAACCCCAGGCGCCCGCAGGGAAGCCCCGCCAGGCCGGCCGCGCCGAGCAGAACAGCAGCGGGCCCCACGGCCAGACGTTCCCACGCCGGCGCCAGGAGGACACGGGCTACCCGCGGCCTCTGAGAGCCCCGGCCTAGAGCTGAGGGACCGGGGGGAGGGCGCGCGTGCTGGTCCCAGACGAAGCCGAGCGGAGGCCCTCTGGTCACCCCGACCCGCCCCCGCCGAGCCCAGTGGGGTACCTGGATGAGGAGGCTGTGGCAGATGTTGCAGATCTTCACGGCGTCAGGGAACGTCTCCCGGATGTACTGCTCCATCTCCAGGATGGCCCGGCTGTGCAGCGTGAACTCTCCTTCCTTCTGCAGGACAGAACATGGCAACGGCTCCGCCCCTGCTCGCCAGCCCCTCGCCCGCCCGGCAGGCGCACGGCCCAGGGAGCTGCTCAGGGCTTCGTGCCCTTCACGCGGCCCGTTTCCACCAGCCCCGGCCAACAGGTGCCCACGCCGGCCCCTCGGCACAGCCGCAAGCTGGGAACACCTAGGCCGAGACCGAAAAGGAAGCCAAGGTGAGGCTCCCCGTGCCCCGACCTCGGCACCTCACTTGTGCCGCACAAGCGTGAACCGGGGGTGGGGGAAGATGCCAGCAGCCCCCTGAGCGAGCCTGGCCACAGCCCCCCTACGGGCCTGCCCCCAGGCACAGCCCCTACCGAGCGCTCACCCCTTCCTCTCCTCCCCCGGGCAGCCCTCCTGTATCCCTGTACCACCTTCAGCTCCAGGGTCATTGGCTCAGTTGGGGAAGAGCTGTCCTGCGTTTCCTCCGCTCTGTAGCTGGACCTCAGCGAGCTGCCTGCCCAGTCTCTGGCTCCTCCCAGACCATGGGCCCCAGGCGGAGCGCCAGGCCCGGTGCTGCTCGTGTCCCCAGGCCTAGTGTGGGGCTCCGCGCTCGGCAGCCGGGTGATGAAACTCCCAGGGAAGGTGGAGTCGACCCAGCGCCGAGACCACGGAATGCCCGAGGCCCCACCGAACAAGCTCACATTCCCGGTCAGGCCTGAGCCACATTTACTAAACGTGGACTGTGTGCCTGGTCCTCATCGCTCATGACCCTGCTCGATCCTGTGGGGACCCTGTCACAGGGAGGGCAGGCCAGGTGCCCTAACCCCAAAGACCCAACCTCCCAAGATCTCCCAGGCCCCGCGGCGCAGCGGCCCCCGAGGCCTGGAGGTGCGGCCGTCAGCAGAGGCCCATGCTCCAAGGCTCCTTGACCCTGGGCGCCTCCCCAGACCCCGCCACCGGGACACAATCCTGTCTGTGCCCTGGATGTGCACGACAAGTCGCAGGGCCAAAGTAGGGTGCTCGGCTGCATGGAGCGCATGGCTCCAGGGCAGACCAGCAGGTGACTACAGTGTGTTTCCTCCTGAAAATCCAAGATTTCCTCACCTCCCCATGAGGAGCAAGTACATCTTGTCTGTTTGGGAGAAATTTTGAAGTAAGTCCCGTCCCCCTGGAACGTCCCCTCCGGGCCCAGCCCTGGTCCCAGCCACATGGCTGGAGCGTCCACAGGGCGGTAAGGCACGAGGAGCTCAGTGGGTTAAGCACCCGCACTGCCCAAGAACATTCCCTCCTGCCGGGCCTGCCCCACAGAGGAAGAGAGCCCAGGACACAGCAGGTATTGGGAGCTGCTGTGACCCAAGCCCGGGCCTGGATGGGGCTCTGTCCCCGCCAGACCGGGGACATCACCTACGCCACGCAGCTGCGGTGTGTCCGGCTCAGCACCAGAGCCAGGGGGCTCTCGGTCATCACAGGGCAGGGGGCAGACCCGAGGCTGCAGTGGGCCCCGAGCAAGGACTTAGGCCACAGCTCTGGGGACCAGAGGCAGACTCTCCCTGGAAGGGATGTGGTGCAGCACCGCACCACGAGCAGCGGCCCCCAGCTGCGGCTCTGACCACGGCGTGAGGAAGTGGAGGGCTGCCCTGAGCACGCCGGGCGCAGACATGGGCACTAGGGCCACGGCTGAGGTCGGGTCAGCACGGGGCCAGCCGGCCTCGGGGTTCCTGGCAGCAGCACTGCCTTCTGTGGGAAAAGCCCGGAAACATCTTGCTCTGCTCCAGTCAGCAGTGGCAGCCACGGGGTCTAGAAACGGGGAGGTCAGCACCATCTGGTCCCTTCCCGGCCATCCCCAGCTCCTCTCCAGCACCTGCCCCCATGTCCTCCTGGCTCCTTCCGGCCAGCGTCTAAGCGAGAGGCCCTAAATCATGTAACACTGACAGTAAGAACCACAAGGACAGCGATCCTCTGGGAGCCCGGCACCAGGCGCTGGACATCGGTCGTTCCATTCCTGCCGGGCTGGGGACAGGACTCCTCCCCGCTCACAGAAGAGGGGCTCCCGCTGCCCTGGCCAGGAACCAGGCTCAGATCTGACGCCAGAGCCGTGCCCTCCGCCCCACATCTGCCGCCCAGGGCCCCAAGCCCGGGTGCGGTCCCCGCTCTGCACTTCCAGCTGTGGCGCCGTGGGCCCCTCGTGGGAACGAGCAGGAGGCTCCGAGCCCTTCCCATAGGGTCCTGGTGGGCGTGAAAGCAGGTGAGGCACCTGGCACGGCCCAGCTCAATGGACAACCGCCAGATCCAGTGTGGTTTGGGAGGGAAATTTGTCATGTGAACAGTGAGCCGAGCCGGGGCACCAGGGACGCGCTACCTCGATCAGCCATTTGTTCTGCACGAACTTCTGCAGCACCTGCTCCGCCTCCTTCTTCCTCATCTTCTTGCCTTTAAGTTGGTCAACCAGGTTCAAAATATTTGTGGAAGACGCAAAGCCCGTTTCTGAGTCAATAATCAGTTCCAACTGGAAGAAAGCAGCAGGTACTGCGTTTATCCATCAAATCGGCAAAAGCAATGTTTGAGCAAGAACCCCGATCCCGGCGGGGAGGGGGCAGCAAAACGCTCCCGACCGCAGGCAGAACTGGACCCCCAGAAGGCTCTTTCAGGAAGCTGGTCGCATAGGGCACCAACAGCCATAACCACAGCCAGTCCTTCTGACTTGGTGCTCAGCCTGTGACATCACGCCAAATGAATGACCTTAATGTGCCCAAGTCAAGAATCTTCTCTCGCCCCCCACCTCCCTAAAGGGAGAGAAGCTGGGAATGAATGGAGGCAGCACCACACCTGTGGGAAAGGCATCGGGGGTGGGGGACCAGCTGGAGGCAGGACAGGACAGGACAGCAAAGCCAGGGAGGGGCAGGAAGCAGGCACTCTCAGAGTTGACGGTCCCCAGAGGAGGCTCAGAAAGGAATGGTTCTAAGACTAGTCACCAGAGACCGGGATTGGCCAGATCTGGATGAGGCCAGAATGTCTCAACTGTCTTTATGTCCTGGTCCTTAGAAGGTGCCCCCAGGACTGAGAACCACTGTGGTGGCCAGTGCTCAGCTGGGTGAGTGACAGGAAGGCTGAGCCAACGCACTGATGCTGGGGAGACAGCAGCGCCTCTCAAACGAGACCGTGGAAAAGGCCCGTCAGGCACCTTGTTAAAATGCAGAACGAGATTCAACAGTCTGGGGCGGGGGGACTGGGATTCAGCCTTTCTAGCAAGCTCGCTGCTGCTGCTGCAGGCCTGGACCATGGTGCGAGCACCAGGCAGTAACACTTGGTGGCCCGCATTGCATACCCAGAGGCCTCGTGCAAAGCCAATCCGGTTCAAACCTAGAGAGGCTCTTCTTTCCGTGGCGCCCTCCCATCATCACCAGGCGGCAGTGAACTGCTCTGTGACCCCCCGCCCCCGTACAGAGCCACCTGGGACAGCAGTGGTGACCCTCCAAGATCACGGTTTCCATTTCTGACGATGGAAGACAGCAGGTTCCCCAGAAGCCCGGCCATTAAACAGGAACTACTGTACTTACGGCCTTTCTGAACAGATCCAGCTCATTCTCTGCAAAATCTGAGGCCATTTTGGAAACAGAAGTCGTTGCCAGATTCACCTACAAAAGAGGTCAGCATGGTGGTCAGGCTGGGCCCCTCACCGGTACCTGAGCACTGGTGTCCAGGGGCTGCCGGCCACAGCTGGATCTGTGACCAGTCCCTATGGGATAGACCTCTATCTCTAGCTCAGTCAGCACGTCTGCTTCTCAGAGGTTCTTAGAACTCCGAAGGTTGTGTACTATCTTCCAAACCCAGATACATTTGGGGAACTTGTCTGCACACTGAACGGAGAGTCACGTGCAAAAGGCACTGACAAGTCCAGCAGTGGACAGCTCTGATTTACTGATCTAATCCAGTGTATCTGTAGTTACTTGACACCACAGCCCTTCTGCCCTGGACGAGTGTGAGCGCCTGGCCGCACCCCTTTCAGGTGGGCCTGGCTGTGGGAGCCTGGTCTCCCTAGATGGGCCTATGGCAGAGCCCTGGCCCACACTGGGGGCCTTATCTGCTCCACCCGCCTGTTTCTCCCCTCGCTCCCCGGCCAGGAGGCCCAGATGGCTCTCAGTCCCAGCGCTCCACACATTCTTTCTTCTCACAGTGTCCATATTTTATTCCAAATGAAAAACCACTTCCTCCCTTTGATGCTAGCCTTGCACGCATTTGAGGGTACTTGCATTTAGCTGTCAACAAACAAAACCCGTCTTGGGCAGAGGCTCCGTGTGGGGCAGTGAAGTGAGCACTGAGGTGCCAGCCCCTGGCCCTGATCACTGGCACAGGACACTGACAGCAGCGCCGTTTACCCGGTAGGCGGGGCGGCCGGGCTAGGCCGAGTGCGTCTGTCTCTCCCACCGCAGGGCTGCTGGAACAGGGCACTGCCACCTCCACCCACCGCAGTTCTGCACAGACGCCACAAGAGGGCGCCGACGTGCACTCACCAGTGCGTAAACAGGTCTCCCGTCGTCTTCCGTGGCTCCCTTCTTGATCTCAATATACAGGGACTCCAAGACGCTGTTAATGTTGTTGATAAAGTCCTCCAGCTCCTCCACGGCGGCAGTGCCTGGAGAGAAGCGGGATGGGGCAGTGGGTATCCAGAAAGTGTGACTGTCGTAGTCATTCCATCCACGTGAGCCCATAACAGGAAAGCCAGGAACAGATGTGGCTTCTTCCTTCCTCGAGTACCCAGACAGGGTGCTGTGAGCAGGAAGGCCCGCGAAATGGTGTCTGACCCTGCCCAGCTCTTCCTGTCCTGGCTGGAAGCCCCCACTGCTGCCCCTGCCACCCACTAGGCCCCTCTCCGCACACTTCCCCACAAGGAGCCTGGCCCTGCACAGCCTCACCCACGCTGGGTCTCTCTCTCTCTACCTTCTTCCCTTTATCCGCCATCCAGACATGTACTGAACACTCCCATGCCAACCTGCGTGCCGGCTCCCGGTCAGGAGTGGGGTGGCAGCGGTGAAGACCAAAGATGACCAGATCAGGGTAAGAGCACCAGCACACATGGGGCGCACCCCTGGGAGAGGCCCTGCACGGGCACTTTCCAGCCATTAGTCCGTCCTGCCAGCAGCCCTCTGAGGCAGGCACCAGTACCCTCCAGATGGGCAGCTAGGCCCAGGTGCCCAGGGGGCTGGCGCACCCACACTGCACCCCCCGAGCACAGTGAGCAGAGGGGAGCCCAGTAGCATGGCCAGAGCCTGGGCTCAGATATGTATACTGTCCTGCCGCCACGCTTCCCGGGGCTGCACAGGGAAGCTCCCTCCACTGTCCTGAGGCTGCCAGTCCATACACGGGGGGTACATACAGAACCCCAGCAGCGTTCACCATCCCCGGGCTGCAGGGGAGCTGGGGACAGGAGAGAGCCAGGGGCCCCTGAGGCTGCAGCGGGAGGCAGGAGCCCCACGCACAGGGCCCTGCAGCCCAGGGGAAGGTCGCATTGCGGAGCCTGGCAGAGTCGGAAGCAGAGAAAGGACACGGTCAACTTTGTGTCTTGGAATTACCCTCTTGTGTACTGTGATACTTTTTTAAATAAAAAGTATTTCTTTAAAGATTTTATTTATTTATTTGACAGATCGAGATCACAAGTAGATAGAGAAGCAGGCAGAGAGAGAGGAGGAAGCAGGCTCCCTGTTGAGCAGAGAGCCCGATGCAGGCCTCGATCCCAGGACCCTGGGACCACAACCTGAGCCAAAGGCAGAGGATTTAACCCTGAGCCACCCAGGTGCCCCAAATAAAAAGTATTTCCTAATAGTTTTATTAACTTATTAAGATAATTTCAACGGATTTATGAGAAGCAGCCAGCATACAAACAGTATGATACCACTTATGTTAAAAATAACGAGAAAACTCATGAAGTACTGCAGGAAAGGCCTGGAAGAACAACCACCAAGCTGATGGCTAAGGCCATTGCTAGGAGGGAGACACAGACGAAGGTGTCAGCCCAGGACACTTTATCTGTGCCTGACTCCGCACAGAGAAAGATACTTCCTTGTATACCCAAGGCCTGTCGAAGTTGAAAAGCAAAGGACCAGTCACACTGGTGGCAGTGAAGGTCACAACCACGTGGACCATCCAAGGGAGAGTCGTGACACAGGCAGAGGGGGCCCAGAAAAGCTAATGACAAGACCAGGACAATAACACCAACATGCAAATCACGGCAGGGATCAAATCTTCCTTTTTAAGTAAACTTGTTTAAAGTTTAAAAAAAAAAAAAAGCCCTTTCAGTAAAAAGTCAGCAGTGCTGAGGGTACAGAGACGTGGGACAAACCGCAAGGACAGTATGACGCTGGAATGTGGCCCCAGCTGCCGAGCGCCTGGGAGCAGAGGCGGGCCCAGGTGGTACTACTTCCTGCCTCCCCTCGAGCCCTTCCTTTCTGAAAGGCCTCCCTCCTCCTCACCCGCATTCCTGCCCACTCATTCCGGAGGACGACTCAAATCACACTTCTTTCCATGAAATGTTCTCTGCAGCCCCCCGTACACCGGGCCTTTGCCGTCCTTCCTCTTCCACACGGAGGGCCATGCACGGCCGGGGGGCCTGGGCCGGTGCAGGATGGCCAGGAAGCTTTTCAGCAGGTGCGAAGCCCTTGCTGCAGCAGCGCCCAGCCTGGGAAGCCGGTGCACAGCTGTGGGGCCTTCGGGAGCACAGCCTCGGGGGTGACAAGGCTCCTCGTGGGCAGGAGCTGCTCCGTCCACCCAATTTGACACAATGGCAAGTCCCACCTCCCTCTGAAAGTGATAATGCACATTTTCCACTGAAAAGGCCACTCTTGGGTATGGTTCAGAAAAAGGTACCCTGTGGGCAGATCACAAACCCTCCCGTATGACAGACTTTCCAGCGACCTCGTCTGCATGGAGATGAGCTAACAGCCACTCCATGCCCTCCCCTCTCCCACCCCTCCAGCGTGCTGTCCACTCTCATTTTTCAGAAACATGCCTGTTTTCACTGAACAAAAACCACCTAAAAGACCAAAAACAAAAATACCCAAAAACAAAAAAACCCACTTCCTACTGCTGTCCTTGCAGGAGCCAGCCACCTTCTCAAGAACTCACGTTCTCTCTGACCACACAGCTTCCTATGTCAAGGGCATGTCTGCACCCCTGCCTACTGCTGACACTGTGCGTGCTTCTCATGCCCTCTGCCACACTATCTCCTCCTTAAGTAAGGGAATATACTTCTCTTGGGGTGCCTGGGTGGCTCAGTGGGTTAAAGCCTCTGCCTTCAGCTCAGGTCATGATCCCAGGGTCCTGGGATCGAGCCCCGCATTGGGCTCTCTGCTCAGTGGGGAGCCTGCTTCCTTCCTCTCTCTGTGCCTGCCTCTCTGCCTACTTGTGATCTCTGTCAAAATCTTAAAAAAAAAAAAAAAAAAAAAAAAAAAAGAATATATTTCTCTTGTGTTCAGGAACACCCTCTACCCAACTTGAGTTTTGAGGTCATCAGCATGGCGCCGTGGTGCCATCCCAGGCCCACCCTACCTTTCTGGGGGACCCCCGGTGAGTCTCACCCTTTTCTCATCCCTGAAGGCCACCGACTGCCTCACTTCCAACTTCGTGAGTCTAAAACACATCCCTCTGACCGTCTCTCTAGCACAACCCTTCACTCCAACCTCCCAGTCTCCCACTCCCCCAGCGTCCTGGTCACGCCCCCTCCCAGTCATGGACCAGACCAGCCGAGGGGAGGTTCCTGTGCCCTGGCCTCCTGCAGCTCCTAAGCAGTGCCTTCCTCAATCACCTGGCTGTTCCAGTCACCAAATCTGGCTGCCCCACTCATGGAGTCACCTGGTAACCTTTGCTGATAGCCATTTCCATCTCTAACCAGATCTTAGCTTTTTTTTTTTTTTTTTTTAATTTTCTTTCTTCAAAAGTATGATTTGGGGAGGCAATAATTCCAGATACCCATATCCAGAGAACTGGAAGGCAGGGAGCTGAAGGCCCCAATCTGAGGTCAGGAGGAGTAGCCCCAGCCTATCGGATGGACACTCTCAAGCTAGAAGGGACAACAGGAGAGCTCAAGGTGGTTCCAGCTTAGCCACCAAGAAGTGGGAAGGTGGGAAGATGGCTTTGGCCAGAAGGTTGTCCCACGTCCTGGTGCCCTCGGTCGTGCACATTCCTCAGCCTGGCCCCTGGCTGTCAACCAGTCCTATGTGTCCCTGTCCCCAGTGCCCTTCCGACATGGTTCTTTTAAAGGCAGCCAGAACTGGGGTTGTTTGGTTGGTACCAAGCTTCCCAACAGGCCATCAAGTGTCAGGGGAACAGCAGATGGGGGATTCCAGACCTCCAGTCTTCTGAGGAGCTGTGTGCCCGGCCGCGCCCCTGCGCCCTGCCCTGCTCTTGAAGCCGCAGTGGAGAAGCTCTAGTCTGCAGATCTGTACGAACACCCTGGGCCGAAGGAGGATCAGAGGATCCCTCAGGCCCCAGTATCCTGTAAGGCTACGGTCATGATGAAGTGCGTGAGATAAAAGGCTGAACCACACACTTTGGAGGCAATTACTTCCGGTCTTAGTCCCACCATGTTGATGACTTAAGAGAATTAATAACATCACTCCTCCCTTCAGCACCCCAAACCCACCGAGAAAAAAGAGAGGCTTCAGCTTAGTATCAAAGTTGCCAGATTTTGTGCAGTTTGAGCTGGATCAGAGGTGGGGTGCCTGCTTCTGATCAGACCCGCGGTCAGCACGACGGGAGGACCTGCTCCAAAAAGCTGTGACAAGCAAGGCCCTGGGCCCACCAGCACTGTCTCCTCTCCGAGAGCAGGAGGCCCCCACCCCACGGCACGCAGCCCCATGTCTCAGCCAAGCAGAGGTCTACAGCTCTTCGGAGCCCCCTGGATCCTCTCTTCTTGGGAGCCGGGTGTCCCTGGGCCTTCCTTGGGGACTGGGGCAAAGTCACTGCAGACGAGCTACAAACAGCCAGCCTGCAAGCCGGCGGCTGTGATTCACAGGAGTGTGTGGGGGGCACTGTTCGCTCGCTCGCCTCACATCATCAGTACCGGCGACTGCGAGTCACGAATATCACCTTGATATGAGAGAGGCTTGGGGAGAGTCCCCATCACTTAGCAAGGGCACCCAGGCCTGCCCAACCCCACATCCCGAGCCCGGTGCACGAAGCCACAGGGCCTCCCCAGAGCAGAGCAACCGTTCCTGAGAACACATGCCCTGCCTGTGGGGGCTGAAAGGCCAAGGCCCAGGAGAGGACAGAACGGCTTTTTCTTTAGCAGGAAATGCCTTTTCGATGGGACAATTAAAGAAAGGGGACTCAGGGCATTCCACGGGCTGGGGAAGCAGCCCAGAAAAGGGGACACTGTTCCACGGACAAGCGGCTGCTTCATTCTGAGAGACTGCTTTATATGGCCACTGCTGTATATATTCTCTCCTTTTCTATTAAAAGTCAATTTTGGCTCAACCAACAGCCCTCTTGCTAATCAGGGTCCCTCCTTCCCAGCAGGCTACCAGTAACAGGGGCTCCCCACACACTGGGGCGGCGGGCGTTCAGGAAATTTGCTGCCTTAACTTCTGAGCAACAAATAGTTTTGTTCCAAACCAGGCAACTATAGATAGAAAATGCTAT